ACGACGAACCAGGTACGCATGTGTTTTACAATACCTCCAAGGACGACGACCACCCCAGCGACGACAGTGATGATGACGAAAAGACGCTAACCGACAAAGAAGCGGAAGCTCGAGCGATTCGATTTGCGCAACGGCACGGTATCATCTTGAACAAAGATGACAACCCCAACAAGATCAAGTTCAAGGCCAATATCTGGCAAGTCTTGGCAGTTCCCGGGATCTTTGTTTTCATTTATCTTTGTTGGATTACTTGGATCGAGTGATTGGGGCACGACTCCCGTTTATAAGGGTCCGGATAAACTCGATGCGATTATGGACTTTATCGAGGCTCGAGCCGAAATGATCTACAAGGAGCGTGGTGGTGCCATGAGTAATTTTGCCAATGCCAATTGCACCTTGTTTCTCGGCATGAGTACCATACCGTGGAGTGGAATGTCTCTCTTTGCGGGTCGTGACTATGCCAAGGGAGAAGTGGTGATTTCAGCTGCCCATTTTCTACCCCTCTATGACAGCAGGGATGGATCTACCTATACCTTATCCCTTCAACAATACGTATTCTTACTCAAGCACCATCATTTAGTGGCAAACGTCGATGGAACTACTTTTTGGAATGAAACTGATGACAATAATGACAACAACCATACTGATTACAGTCTTCGAGCCACAAAGCAAATCCACGCCGGGGACGAATTGTTTCTTCCCTTTACCAGTCACCCTCACAGTAAACTACCACTCGACACTACTACTACTACTAATCCTACCGGCGTCTTTGACGATATTCCCACCCAACCAGAATACGACTTGGCTGAAGAAATCATTCGAGATACCTTGTTGAGTTTCCCCATGAAACGAGGGCGGATCATGGTCAATGACAAGGAAATTGAAAAGACACTCGTGCTGGTCTACAAGGTGGCGCGCAAACTCAATCCCAAAGTGCTCCGATTCTTGCCTTCCACCAAGCGAGAACTAGATCCATGGATATCATTCATTCGAAGAGCAGAACCCTTTGGCAAGGCTGCACTTCAGGAAAAATCCATGAATGCACTGGAAATGAATGCCCAATGCATGAGTCATCACAATCAAAATGCCAACCGCGAACTACTGCAACATGATGGAGACTCGGATGTTTCGTTGTTGGCCACACAGCAATTCTTGAATGGAACGACCGTCTTTGCATCTCCTCTGCTACTGTTGCCACTTGGAAGGAAGAATGAAGCCCGTAGATGTGCCTCTGTGGACCACGCTGTTGTTGATGATGACCAGGAAGAATGTATCATGCCACCAGAGGGAGAGGAATTGGTAGAAGAAGAGGGTATTGTTGTATCGCAGAAGCAAGCCAACAAGTACTGCTTCCAACAAGCGCATCTGCCATTCTTGCTTTGTCCGCTCTCTCCAGCCGCCATGCTCATCACATCATCCGCCGGAACCGAACCGCCCAATGTGGAGTTCCAATGGAGTCGCAGGATTAAGCGCAGAAATACAAAAGCATTGGCCATGTCGCCAGAGCAGGTGGCACAGGAATTGCTCTACTCGACAAAGTTATTCATGGAGGTGGTCGCACTCCGGGAAATTCAAGAAGGTGAAAAACTCATTGCGGACATGTCCGAAGATACAATTGCAACTCTTTTGGCGTGGAACAATGTGACTGCGGTGAATGGAGAAGGATGAATCTAAGAAGGATCGGACACCAGTCAAGTTTCAAGTACCAGACAGACTGCAACGGAATGCACTGTAGGTTTTGCTACTGCAAACATAGCAGAGCATCAAAACCTCAATCGGCATATATGTTGTTCAGATCGAGTCGGATGAAACTTGCCAATTGCTCTGCAGACTATGAACTTCCTCTGTTGATTCAAGATGGAAACAATCCCATCATGACAAGAACAAAAAACAACAACAACAACGCTTCTGCTCCAACAACCACTAGAGCAAACGAAAATCACAACTATGCATAGATTAAGCTCTGCTCTGCCTGTAACAAAACTTTTGCCACTCGAGCAAGCTGAATAGACTGGTGCTACAGCTTGTTGCTGCTTTTTAGTTTGTCTAAACAAAACCATTGCTCCGCTACACCTACCATACTATTTGCAGCGCTTGCACCGTTGATTGCCACGCTGCAAGAGTAGGAAGAGCCAAAAGCAACAAAGTTAGCCTTCAAATCCAAAGAAATCACCCTGGAGCTGATGCATCCTGAACCCCGAACGTGTGAACTTACGCTGGCATCCCAATTCCGGGGAAGATCGAGTCTCCAGCAAGGACAAGATTGGGAAAGGGCGTGCTGCCATCCTTCAAGTAATCTTCTGTGGCCGCCCCATACGTGCCCCGTGGCCTCCTGAGGAACCGTTCATGTGTAATGGGCGAACCAATCAATTGCTCGACCGTTCTTTTGCGAACATCTGGGATTACACTTTCAATGGCTCGCCACAGCACTTCTGCTCGTTGTTCCTTTAGTTGTTTGTATTCATCTGAATTGCGCTTCATACCTTCCCAAAGTGCATACGGCTCATTGCCTGCCCCGTATGCATGGATGATCATGTACCCTTCGGGGGCTAATGACTTGTCAATCACACAGGGATTCGAAACAGCAATCATGTTTAGCTCTCCACAGGGGCCATCCGAAGGACTCCCATCTCCTGCTAGAGATCGATCCATGACAGTGTAGTGTGCTTCCATTTCTTCCAGGTTGAGCCCCTTTGAGTCAATGGCAATGTGTAAATGAAGAAAAGAACCCGTCATCTCAGCCATGTCACAGTTGGCCAGAAGGCTTTCTTGGGACTGAGGATCTACCGAGGGGCGAACCGATTTTACGACGGGCTTTCCACTTGTCAAGTCCCAGGTCTGACGAGGTTTCTGCGGGGCCAAATCTGGTAGCATGTTGTTGAGTTTGGAGAGGATTTTGTCGTCTTTGATCAAAGACCTGAGACTCCAGACAGGCACATTGCAGATGACACCATCTTTTGCTTCGACTCTGCGTCCATTGCGCAATGTAATGCCAGTGATTTTGGATCCATCTTCCGAACAATCGATAGTTTCTACATGTTGTCGTAAGTGGACTTTAGAACCCAGAGACCCTTGCTCAACTCCCCGAACCAGAGCATTGACAACTTCTCCAAAGCCTCCTTTGGGATAATCCAGACTAGCCCCGGGCCTATGCATGTCATAGATCACAAAAGCCATTGCTGCCGCCGAGGTTCGAGAAGCCGGGAGACCCGACAAGGAAAATGCCAGAGCATCCAACCAATTTCGCAGCCATTGATCTTTGACTTGAAAGATTGGTCCATCCATGAACGGTGCAAAGGTTGAGGTGGTGAGTTCGCCTTGCTGGATGATTTCGAGCAAGGTGGAAAAGTACCTCAACAGGGGAATCAATGCCGTGCTCCCGGCTCTCATTGCCATGGCAGGAATCGCCACACCTGCCAGCAATCCTTTGGTAGATTCCCGTAGAGCTTGGAACTCCTCGAGCGCCGTGGGGCCACCAAACTCTTGCAGAGGTCCCTGCTCAAAGATATCGGGGCCCAATTGCAGTCTCCATTTCAGTAGTTCCTCTCGTCCTGGATTTTCAATCATCCCCCAGGCATCATATGGAATCCAATCAATTGGTTGATCCACGGCTTGTAGCACTTGCGCCAGTGGATTGAAGGGTGGGCTGCTGCATCCCAAGAGAATGGTCGGTCCCGAATCAAAGGTGAAAGTTTCTCCACATTTTTGTGATTTGCGATCAAACGCATGGGCACATCCACCTGCCAGATAGTGGCTCTCGTAAATACCCACCTTTTTGCCGTAGAGTGTATTTAGAATGGCTCCGGCACAGAGACCTACAGAGCCATTGAAAGCAAAAAACAATAAGTTAGAGAGAGGGAGAGTGCATGGTTCGGTTTCTCAAGTAACTTCTTACCACCAAGTCCAGCGCCAATAATAGCAACATCGACCTCTTCTAGAATGGAAGTATCAGTGTTTGGAGGAGGTAGCTCATCGGCTCCTATTGTGTCGTCATCTGCAGCTGAAGAATAGAGCACGGAATCTCTACTGCCGGTAGGATCAAAATAATGCTCGGTCAAATCTCTGGAACATGATCCCGTTCCCGCTGGCAGCAAACCAACGAATTGGCTGGCAAATCCGTGGGTCAGACTCCAGAGAAAAGCCGGAGGCAGGAAAACAACGGCAAACGCTCGTGTCATGGGGATCAGTGACTATAGAAAAACAAAAAAGTGATTCTTTCTTCCTTCCTTCAGCAACGAGTCTTCAGCACATTCAGTCTGAAGGAGTTGGAAAAACAGTTTAGAAGCGATGAAAGCACAAGAGAGAAGCAATAAGACTCCAGGTAGCGCACCAGAATAACTCAACACAAAGAGCTCAAATAGTGTCAAGCAAGTGCCGATACAAAAAGTTCGATCGTCGATGGTGCCATTTGAAAGATGAGGGTGAGACTGAGTCAGTACTCTGATCCCTAACCTGTACTAGAGTATCCAGAAACCTGTAACCTTAACGCTTTTGGTTTGGCACCACCCAATCTTTTCGATTTCGGCTTTGGCACCAAAAGATGATGATGCAAAGCAACGGCGACATCCATTCTGATTCTCAACTCGTGCCATACATGTAATATAGTAGATTAGAAGATAGAAGAACGATGCCTCTTGCTACTGCTTCTACTGCCAGCAGTTACATTTCCATTCGGGATGATGCACGGTCACTGAGTCGTAACGAACGAGCCTTTACGCGAGAATGTGCGCTTCGAACCAAGGCGCTGCGTTTGGATGGTCGAACGTCGGAACAGGTCCGACCTGTGCGCTTGCATATGGGTCGTTGGGACCATGGCGCCGAGTGCACGGTGGAATGGGGAAACACACGAGTCACATCGCTCTGTACAGCCGAGCTGGTGAGACCCAATCTAGATCGACCCAATGGTATGCTTGACTAAAAGAATGGCATTGTGTGCTGAAAAAGAGCTTGATCTTGAATTTCTAACTCTTTTTTGTCTGCTTGACACATACATTGAATTGCAGAGGGCCAACTGGTCATTTCAGTGGATCTCTCTCCCAGTGCGTCTCCTTCCTTTCGTCAGGCGCCTCCGTTTACCACGGGAGCTGGAATTGCGGGTGGCGGCCAGGGACCCAATTACGCCGGCAACAATCAACGCTTACAAGCCAACCGCATTCTTCGCTGCTTGGAAAAAATTGTATTGACGGGAGGAACCTTGGATGTGGAAGCCTTGTGTCTGGTTCCAGCGCAGTGGGTCTGGAGATTCCATCTGGCTCTCACCATTTTGGATGATGCGGGAAATCCAATGGATGCTGCCGTCATGGCAGCCATTGCTTCCCTGAGACACTACCGAAAACCTCATGTGGATTTAGATGCTCATGCTGGTGGTGGAGATGACAGCAATGATCCTGCATTGGCCAGTGCTCCAATACTCATTCCATCCCATCTCAAGGAACCCACTCCTCTACCACTACACCATACGCCACTGGCCATTTCCTTTGCCTTTATTCCTCTGGAAGATGGTAGCAACCTCAGTACGGCGGCAGGTGTCGTGGATCGAACGTCGTCGTCCTCTTCTGCCGGTGTCGTGGCCGCATTGGTCGATCCCAACGATCGAGAAGAATTGCTACAAAATGGATCCTTGACGGTGGGAATGAACATTCACGCCGAAGTTTGTCTCTTGGATTATGGGGGAGGGTGTGAATTGCCACCCACGCAGCTCCAGGAGTGCTGGAAAAAGGCAGAAGGATGCATTCGACAACTCTGCACCATGCTAGAGGCATCCTTGGAACAAGCCGACAAGCAAGCCCAAGCAGATCGACTGCAGAAACTGGTCGTTCAGCAACAAGAGACAAGAACAACAACAACCAGATCAACGACAACTAACAACAACACCAATACGGAACTGCCGCCCTTGCCATCGAGCCCGTATTTTCAACAATCGGACAATCCAGGCGAAAACACTACTGCCATGGATGTTGATAATAATGACGACGACAATAACGTCGAACAAGTGCAGACAGAAGCTGAAGAAGCCTATCGGCAACTGGCATTGGATTACTCGCAAGGCTACAAGGCCACCAAAGTCAGGGAAGATACGGATCATATGAAGCATTCGTCACAAGCGTACTTCAACCAAGCTGGCAAACTCATGAAAACTATTTTCGAATCCGCCAAATCTGCCAGTGCCACTGCTGACAACGACCAAAAGGACAAGGGCAAGGCGCCAACTGTTGGTCAACCCAAGAAACAAGGGACCAAAGCAGCCACAACTACAACCACAACAAACAAGACTGGCAAAAGCAGCGAAACACCCTCCAAGAAGGCGAAAGGAACAAAGGCTGCAACTGCTGGACAGTTGGATAGCGACGAGGAGGAGACGACACAGATGCTACAAAGCGAATTCAAGGCAGAACAAGCTGATCCTGCGAAGCCTGATGCAAAGGCAAAACCAATGGATGTAGATGATGATGATATTGACGACCTGGCGATGGCGATATCATCCAAGAAGAAAAAGAAGAAGAAAGCTAAAAAGTAGTAGGATAGAGGAAGCGTAAGTCAAGTCTACCCAAAGTCACCGTTTCCCTGTAGCTGCTGGATTCTTCAAGCATAAAAAGTCTACAACCAAATAGAATCATGTCTGCGTACTCGTAGCCGACGTTGTGGGGTGATTTGTTGTTGTTGATGCTGATGGTGTCAGGCCCGGGTAGAACAGCAGAACAAACAATACAATAACCAAGAACACAATAACGACGGATGTTGCGTTGAACCTCTGCATATTCATCAATGCAACCACAGTAATGACAACCAGGGCACTCCATATCCCTGCCCGTCTTAAGAAGTCAGGATCGTCGATGTCGGAGTCCTGAGACTCGCGGTGCGGCCTGCCGGCACAGGTGCCGCTGCTTGAGCGTTTGAGCTGATAGTTTGGTCCTGTAGAACCAGATTTTATGTCTTTCTTCCATTCGTTGATTGCATCGCACTCCTTGATTATTCCCATGTCCGTTTGTCGTTGTACTTCCCGTATCAGCACAGCTAGCAGCGTGGTATTTTGGTATAGATCATCCACATGTAGTGGTTTGCGTGTGATGGGCGAGACTCCATGGTTCCGAATCCATTCTTCAACGGCGTTTCGCTCAAAGGTGTAGCCTTCTGGGTCAATGACTGGATCTCGCAGCAAGTCCTGTGTGATTGGGCAAAGGAAGACACCTCTTTCGTTGCTGCTTGGTTGAATTTCCTTGAGCGGGTCAGTGACTGGTGCCAGGTACTCCATCAGGGCTCGGTTGGGGTAATAGTCCAATGCGCTCTCGCAATCCCTTCTCTGAACCGAGTCTCGCTCGTAAGTGAGCCCATCTGTGGGGCTTACAATTCCATCTTCAATGGGGAGGTTGGTTATGGGGCAGCGCACCACTTGCTTGGGCAATACAACACGAGGGTGAAACCTGCCATGCCACCGGCTCGGGCCATGGCCGATGTGTCCCTTTTCGAGGTCAACAATGATATTGACTTCTGAAAGGTCGCTTGTCTCGTGGGTTAGATTTACTGGACATCCCTCGCTCTCCCCTATCACGTTGGCGTTCTCGGTGGATTCCGTGTTCGTTCCCAACCCGACAGCTACAGCTTTGCTCCTTCCGGATGACATTGAAACGCTGAGCTGTTGCTGGCGCTCTGGGCCCAGCATACAAGAGAATTAGGTTGCCTCGTAACTTAGTTCTGCCAGCAGCTACTTCCAAGCTCGAGGAAACTGAAGCAACCCGCCACCTGCTGCTGATACCGTACCTGACCTGACAAAATGTGAGGGTCGATGGCGGCGGTACCAAAGCTATGTAGTACCGTTTGTAATCGTAAACATCAAAACGCTACAAGCAAGCATTGATAAAAAGGCTTTACAGGACTGTTCGTCAAGCCGTCCATAAATAGGATTGGGCACAATGACGCTAATTTTATTCGCGGGAAAACCATGGTTGCTCGACTAGCTGGCTCATTGTTTTCTCCCATTACCCACATGTACCGAACACCGAACATTCTGATGGTGTCGTACTAGTATGTGCCCATTCCCTGGCACATCGTTGTGACAAAAGAAGTCCTGGCTCCTGGCTCCTACTGCATGCTCCGTGAGTGCGGTACCTGGTACCAGTACTATCCCCCCGTTTCAACATTACCATTAGCATTCGAGCTACGATGTACCGATGGATTCAACAACACCCTTGACTGCCTCGGCACTCCCAGTAGCACTGTTCGCCTCCAGAGTACTGTAACGTTTGCTTGCTTTTGCGTTTGTATAACCATCTGGGTCAAAGACTGGATCCCTTGCCAGGTTCTGAGCAACAGGGTAACACACCTCCTTCATTGCTGCTTAGCGTACCGGCAAGGCTGGTCAGTTATTACTGAATCCAGCTACTTCATCAAGGTCTTCTCCGAATCCCATTGTATAGATATGTGCAGGCGTGGTAAGTCCGTCAACTGTTCCCTGTCGATTCAGCAACCGGTCCGCTCATGTAATCTAAACACTATATTTACTGTTGCCTAGTTCTACTGTCTACATCCTTCAGTTCCTCCCAAGAGTTCTTGCACCTCTCTTGGGCAAAGTTGATTCCTATCCTACCAGCCACTCCTATCTTCAAACAACAAGCCTGGAAGTCTTCAATACCTTGAAAGTGCCCATTTACCACTTGAGCTTGCCTCCCAGTCCGTACTTGTTCAAGAGACCCTTGTAGTATGGCCAGAGCGTTTCCATGTCAGTCCGGATGTCATTGTCTCCGTCCTTGGTGTAGAGATCAAACCGGTTGAAGAGCCGAATCCACTCTAAACGTTCATGGTCTTCTTCCTTGAGAAGGTGTTGGTAGGCTCCCTTGTCATGCATGGGGTATGCGGAATGGTATCGGATCATATCCAAACCTTCTTGGGGAATAGCAGTGTCGTTGGCCACCAACATCTACCGGAATATGAGAGGCAGGCAAAGACGAGACTCGTGAGCTTCATTCCGATACCGGTACCTCTCTTGGTATCAATTAAAAAAAAACAGCCAATCCACTTACCCTCCACATGTACTCGTCGTGCCCCCAGGAAAAAAACAACTCGTCGAGTCCACAGTTGGGCTCGTACATGCCATAGAGTGAGTTGTAGCGCTTGTCGTGCATATCTGGATTCAGATGATTGAATTCCGGAAACACCACAGCTTCATCAGGGATTTTGCAGCCAACCACAAAGGTATCGCCACCCAACGCCCATTGCTTGGCTGTTTCATCGGCTGTGCGGCCATCTTGTCCATCTTCGGCTCTGCCCCACAGGAACATGATTTTTCCCATGTCATGTAGCAATCCTACAAGCTGGAACCAGTCAGGATGTCCCGCTCGCCGAATGCCTTCGGCTGTCTGGAGCAGATGAAGTTTATTGGGCAGATCCAAGTCAGGATCGGAAGCATCCTGAGAAAAAAGATCATTGTGAGACATTTTACCAAAGTCGGGTTTTCCATGTCAGACAATGACAGCATGTTCCGAAACTCACCACATAATGTTCCAACTCGTCAAAGGCTTCCTCAATTGTCATCAGCCGACGATAGTTTCCATTTCCAAAACAGTATTTGTCCTCCATTTTTCGGTAGAAGGAAACTGTATGGAAGCGGCGCATATCCTTGTAGTGCTGTACCACTCTTGCTGGCGATGTGTCTTCATTGTAGATCCTGAAATCTTCATCTGCCTTTTCATTGGTCTTGATGTTATCAAATATACTAGGAACACCAGGACGCTCTTGTGCCATTGTCTCTTCTTGCATCATTTTGCTCCAAACAACAAACCAAAACAGCGTGATGGCTGAGCAAGTTTAACTTTTAAAGTCAAGAAGATAGGACTATGATACTGGTTGCGGGTACCTGGTAGTGGGGTTTGACGGAAGGAAGCGCAAAAAGCAGAGTGAGTGCGAAAAAAGTGAAGAAAGTCTTACGCACCCTGCCGGAACGCGAAGTTGACACCACCCTTCACATTACAGAGGCCATTACCAGTACACCATACACCGTACAGCGTAGCAGCTGACATCTGATGAAGGGTTGTTGTCAAGGGTCCCATCGTCACTAGCTAGCTGTCACATTTCCAGTTACAGGAATCTGGAATGGGGCATCGACCTTCTCCTGCCTACCGGTACACCTACTTGTTGTGATGTACCGTACATGTACTAGCTAGTAGGGGACTTGACAAGGGTGTTCAAATGGCTGTGTGGGGGGCAGGCCAAGAGTGAAGTTCTTGGAGCCCTTTAAAAGGTATCTACCGGTGCGGTGCCGCGACTATCAATGGCTGAGAACTTGAAAATAGCAGTAGATGTACGGTAGCAAATCACTAAGCTAGCTAGTCATTAGAGGGTTTGCATCCTATTCCATTGGATCAAACATAGAGGGCGGCACCGCAGGCTGTGGTGCAGCATTTTGATTTTGAAAGAGTTGCTGGCTCTGGATAAGAAGCTGCTCCTGTTCTTCTTTCATAGCCTTGCCAAAAAAGTGCTTGGCCTTCGTGCATGGCGTCGCATTTGCAGGCAGACTTGATACGGAGTTGTTCATTGAATCCACAAGTGGCGGGCTGATATTGTTACCAGAAGCACCGTTTCCTGCTGCGCTCACTGGAGGCGGGGTATTGACATTACTGCCATCTGATCCTGTACCAGAAGTCGCGGCAGTCGCAGGAGTACCCCAGGTCGAATTGGAGGCTTGGCTCTTGGGGGTTCCCACCTCTGCAGTTGCATCGTATGAATGACTCCCGAAAGACGCCCCCGAGAAGGAATTGGCACTGAAATCAGCGAACGCATCCTTGCTCCCAAAACAGGAGGTAGACCCTGCTGCAGAGTTATGCCACATCCAAGATGGCGTGGCGTAGGAGATTTCATTGGTACCCGTAGAGCTCGTTCCTGTGCTTTTGGTATCATCTTCTTTCTTGGCCTTTTGTCCAGTCTGCTTGCGCTGGATGTACTTTCCAATCCCTGCCTGGTCCCCACTCTTCTTGGAGTGACTGCGAGACAATGATCTCGACGGGCGGGCATTCGGACTGCCCGAAAGCTGGCTCTTGAGAGACCCCGAGCCCCCAGACTTTGCAGCTTCGTCGTCAAGACGCGTTCGCGAGAGGGAACGAGGTCGGCGACCAGGCCCAGCATCGCTGGGCACTACCGGTACGTTGTCCTTGGCTAAGTTCTCGTACTGTTTGAGATTCTTGCTGCTGCTTTGTTGTCTCTTCGCTACCGAGTCCAGCTTGGATAGAGTCTCGAATTCTTTCATGGTATAGCTGTTACTTTCGCGTCGCGCTGCACTGGAACTTATCCCGCGATCTTGTGCCTTCACACTGGTACTGGGTCGTCTCTTTTTCGACAAGGACCGGTCCTGCTGCTGCAGCTGTGAAGAACGGCGAGCCACCGATTTCGAGCGCCCTCTCTTAGCTTCAGCGAGTGATGGCCGACGAGACCCGGTCCTCTGCGATGGGCTGACAGAGCGACTGCTGGCTCGTCGTCCTTTCATCGAGGCACGGCAAGGAGAGCGACTCTTGGAACGGCCGCTACCGGTAGATCTTCGAGATTGATTGATGGAAGGTCGTCGAGAGGAAGGACTTGTGGAGCGGCCGCTACCGGTAGATCTTCGAGATTGATTGATGGAAGGTCGTCGCGCGGAAGGACTTGTCGAGCGGCTCAGTGATCGACTGCTTGATCGTCGAGATTGACTAATGGCAACCCGCCGGGAGGGACTTGACGAACGACTCGTGGAGCGTCTACCTCGGCGTGGCTTTGATCTGGAAGAATGGTTGCCTTTGCCTCGATGCGCTCGCGGCTTGGAACTACCACGGTCCACGGTAGATCGCCGTCCCCGTCCACGATCGCTATTGGATCGTCGACTTCGAGAAGGTGATCTTGTGTTGCCGTGACCTTCCTCCCCTCTTCGGGTCCGAGACTGAGATCTTGATTTGGAGTGTGATCTCGAACGTGGCCGTTCATCGCTGGGTTCAGGAGTTTTGGGGCGAGAATTGGACCGCCGCCGTCGCTGCTTTTCATCGTCGCTGGAATTGTTGTGGTGGGAGGATCCATCCCGTTTCTCGTGGTTCTTCTTTGTCAACAACGATTTCGACAAGTAATTCCTGTTATCATGCGAATCCACACCAATCGATGCCGTATCAATGCTGATTTCATCGGAAGATTTCTTTTCCACCCCGAAATGATCTTCCAGAGAAAATAACCCCATGCCGCCGCCTTCCTGATCGTAGCAGCATTCTCCAAGTTTTTCTCCATGTCGGCAGACCGCTGCCGCGCTGTTCGCTGCTGGATTGCCCTTTTTCTTGTCGCCCTTGTGGTGACTGCTGCTATTATTATTTCGACTCGAGGATCGTCTGCGGGACGGCTTTTCCATGTCTGTCAAATCGGGCATCATGCCACCATCGAACGACTTGGACCGCGACGGAGCCGAGTGTTTCCTCGAAGCTTTGGTTTTTGGTGCACCAGAATGATGTTCGTCATCGACCCTCTTTCCTGGAACCACAAAGGACTTGGACCGCTTCATGTTCGACTTGCGGGTCTTGTTGTTGCCATGACTCCTGTTACTGCCATCTTCGACCACAATTTTGCTGGACGATTTGGACCGAGTCACCTTTTGGTGGGTTGAATCTCCGCTTTTTCGACGCGGACGTCGCTCCAATCCTTCGCGCTGTTTGCTTCGTGGATTGGGAATGGCGGCTTGTGCATTGACGAGACTATTATTATTGTTGCTGCGAGACGAACGATGCGGCATGGCAAAGGATGACGATCGTTTCGGTCCATCGGGTCGACCGTCCGCGTCTTTTTTGTTGTCCTTGAATGGTCGCGCTGCTGGTTCCCGGTCGTTGCTGTAGGACTTGGATTTGGGCGGCATCGCCTTGGACGACTTGCCACTACTTCTACTACTACTTGCGCCTTCTGATCGGCGAGACTTTTTCGTATTGTTGCTGCCACTGCTGGCACCGGTACTACTGCTGGTGGCTGTGGATCTGCTAGTGGCTGTTCTGGCCGAGGAGCCAATGGTCGTCGAGTGTCGATGATGCCGTTGGCTGTTCCCGGAAGAATTGTCGAGCGGTTGAAGCTGCGATTGCAGCAGTTCGCTGCCACCTCGCTGCTGTCGTGTACTCTTGCGCCGGAGTGGTGGTTTGGCACGACGTCGTTCGGCGGCGAGGAAAATCTCGGAATCATCCGCCATTTCCGTGGGTGCGGCAGAACAAACAGTGGGTGGATCTCCCGCAATGGTGCTGTCGACACTCACGTCATCGGAATACAACTGATTTCGATCCTCCTCGAGTCGTTTATTAATGGATGGAACATGGTGGTTGTCGTTTTCGTCGTCCTCGGTTGCGGACGTGGACGTTGCCAATATATCTGGAGCGTGTTGGCGCTTTCCCGACGAGGAGTGTTTGTGGCTGCTGCTCTTTCTCTTCTTTTTGCTGCTGTTGCTGCTGGATTTACTTTTGCTGCTCTTGGAAGAGGAAATCTTTCCAAAGGCTTTCTTGAGCTGATAGCCCATGCTGCTTGCTTTTCGTGCCTGTCGACTGGCTTCTCTCAAGTCCTCATCCACAGTATCATCTAGATCCAGAAAGGCCGAGGAACCTGTCTGACTGCCATTGCTGGCGCTAAAGGCACTACTGGTGTGCCAAGTCGTACTGGTCGTGGTTTGGGTTTGGCCACTATGATCCATGGAAAAGTGGGAATCCATAGAGGCATCGAGAGACGGCAGCAGGCTACCCATGCCCATCATCTGCATCATTCGGCCGCTGCTATCATGGCTGCTGCTGTCATCGCTACTGCTGCTGCTGTAGCTGTTGTTGTACGAGGGCCTTCGGTTGGTAGGTGGGGCGTGGTGTCGGAGGTCGGATGAGACCATCATGGATGAAATTAATAAAAAATAGTACTTCAGTCAGTCAATCGAACAATACCGTACGTTACTGATGATAGATAGTTTGGGGTCCGGTCGATTGCCAATCACCCCAACGGATAGCTTTGATAATGAGCCTTCCGCCAGGGGACACACGACGGCACCTAGTGAAAAGTAGATACCGTGATGCAGCGACCGTGCAATCAGCCTTCTGATGAGTTGGCGATGGCTGTCGTGCTGTTCCTTGTCGTTCTCTTATAGTTTTGTTGTTGTTGTTGTTGTCCGTCTGTCTTTGTGCCTGTTAACCGGAGCCTTGCTAGCTTGGTCTTTGGTTGGTCAGTTTGCCCTCCCTCCGACTTGATATTTTAGACGGCGACAATGGAAGAGGTCGTGCTGCTGTCCTGCTGCTGTCTTTGAGCTGGTGGCACAAGACTGGGTAGAGGGAGGCCAAATAATGACCCCTCTAAGTGCGGCGTTGAAGAAAGCCAGGAAAATGTGGAATATAAAAACCGAACAGAACCTATAATCAGACAACACAAGCGCCGCTGGTGACAATTGCCACAACAGTACATACGTACATACATGTACATGTACGATTACAGGGGAGTGGGGAGTGGGGTGAGCTTTTGAGATATAAAGAGGGTACAAGAAGGAAGCTTTAAGAAGCGGTTGTCCTGGCAGCCTGATGAGTACGACGTACAAGTAGTAGGAGTCAATGGTTGAGCCAACTAATCTCAAGGGTTCAGCTACCGCTGCTCCAGCCTTCACCAGTGGTATACAGGACGGTTTGCTAAAGCCATACCGGTAGCAACCTGTTTGTTTGACTTCCACGATCTGAGCTTCAAGCAATGCAAGCTCTTCTAAGCTCCACTAGCCTACTACAGTACTCCAGACTCCAGATTAGCCTACTAGTCGCTAGTACAACTTTTAAAAGAAGTTGCTAGGACTGCAGCTGTAGGGTGTGCTGTTTGCATGCTCCCCCCCCCCCCCCAAAGCCAACCAAAAGCCAAAGCTACTCGAATAAGACTAGAAAAAGCAAAACCAACATGACTCCATGGCCTAAAAATTAATAATCAAATTTCGATGCCCCACATACCATACATACCACATCCCACATATGATACCGGTAGCCACAGAGACAGTTGAGATTCCCCAGACTTCTAATCCAGCTTCTGGTTCGATTTGGGTTCAGTGTCTGACGTTTAAACACAGAAACGTCGTCTCAATGATTGCTACGTGATGGGGGCAACTTGGATTATGAGTCACATTCCGACAGTCATTCCAATTTCACGACCACTAGCCAGCTTGCTGTGTTTATGATGTTGTGGGGCACCGGTACCACTACATGTACTACATGTATTTAATAGTAGGAGGGACCACGGGACCACACCACAACACGCTTGGAATCCAGCTTCCAGGACCACCTGGTCAAATAAATACCTAAGCTCTTGTTTCAGCGTGTCAGCCCGCAGCCCGCACCAAGCTAGCTACTACTTGGAGGACTAGCTAGCTAGAGTAGGCGATAGTTTGGGGAGAGCCAGGCAAAACCAGCTACTCCACACTCTCTTTGGCCACCGACAAAGGAGCCACTAGGTGGCACTGTTATCCACACTCAAAATCCAGGATCTTTTCTGCAACTAGTGGTAGGGGTATAGGAGACAGGATGCAACCTTCCAAAGCTCCCTTGCCAGAACCAAGGGCCAAAACCCTTGGTTCGTGCAGGGGATCAAAATGGCCACTACAAAGCAACTGTGGTACGACTGTACCCGGTACCACAATTTCACAGTTCTTTGATTATGCCATGATGCCCCGTGACTGAAAGTAGGATTTACGCAACGAAACGTTAAAGAACGGTTTTACTAGTACGTGATTTCTTCGGTCAGATGCATAGTCTACCTGTACCGGTAGGTCGATCTTCGATTCTCTCACAACATTCACGGGACTCATCAGAATCGAATCGACGATGGCAGAAAAGAAATCCATACCATCACTAGACTATTGTTGCTGTACGACTGTAGCGGCGAGAAGGAGCGAGTTGCCCTTCCAACGACGCAGAGTTCTCGGCACTTCTCCGGAGTCTCCAAGCTCTCAATCTGAGAAATGAAACAAACGGTAGCTACATATTCGGCTTCCAATCTCTTGAGAATGGCCAAACATACACAGTCGGAAAGCCGAAGGTTGACCATGCTGATCAGCCACCCGCAACACCTCCAGATTTTCAAGAACTTTCTCCGTCTCCCCCGAGAAATGGAATTGGACTAGCTGATATACTGCTTGACCGTAAAGAATTGGTCCACAGCATCCGGAAGCGAGCCAAGCCAATCTTCATTATACGATCTCCTCCTGCCACCGGCAAAACGTCGTTATTGGATTTGACCGAAAAAGCTCTTATAGCTAACAACAGCGGCGACAACAACCGAGTGGTTCGATTATCTCTCATTGTCACTACTAGTGACCGTCACCTGTGGATTTTGATTGACGATGCACAGCTCGCGCACAAGGCGGAAAGTTTTGGAAAGTTGTGGTACACGTCCTCATTGCTGCCACCTACGATTTGGCATCCCAAGGCACAATTCCTCTCCACTTCGCCGAGTACCCCCACATTGTGGACCTCAAGCTGTCGAAGGAAGAAGCAGAAACTTTGTATGATGGTTACGTCAGTAAAATTTTCTTCGCCAAGGGATGTGTGGGCTTTAAGGACACGCTTCTCCGGTTGGCGGGTGGCCACGTTGGGGTTTTGAGTGGCGGCATCTCCATGTTGCATCGAATTTACGGGGACACGAACAAACCCCTGTCGGAATCCCAGGCCCTGGATGCTTTGAGAGACCACAGATTTCGAGTCAATTTGAATCGGTGTTTTCCCTGTCGGGCTCTTATGAACAATCAGCAACGAATGGCGGTTGGGAAAACCATCGTCCAGGGCCCATCAAATGACCTCAATATCGACGCTGCTCAGGGTAGTGTGGACGACCCAGCACTAGTGAACCTTGTGCGCGCAGGTATTTTGTCCTCCAAGGGAACATTCATTTGTTTGGCGGCCCAATGGCTGTATTTCAACCACTTCTTTCATCGCCCGGCACACGGACAGGCGACAATCGACGAGCTGGTCATCTAGGCGGTCGAATCAATGTCTGCATGGCGTCCCCGACAGTCATGCGACTCTGGAAATTTTCCGAAGGAGGCTGCGCTCCAGCAACTCTTCAATGAAGCTTTTACTATGCAATTGCCGCAATTGCCGCAAGAGGTTGCTGTGTGTCCAGAGTTGAATACCTTTGCTCACGACACCAACGGGCAGACAGTTACGGGGGAACTGGATTTTTACATTGCTGGCAATTTGCATTGGGCTGTTGAGCTTTTGAGAAACGGGGACAAGATCAACGAACACGAAAAACTCTTTGATCCGAATAACGGGAAATATCGTTCGGTTGGGCACAAGGCTCACATCATCGTGGACTGCAGAGGACCTCGTGGGAGTAAAAAAGTGAAATCCATGCACGAACATTGTACTCTCTACTTTTCCACAAACTTTGAGTCGGTGGAAATCAAAATGCGAGAGCGCCCTCTTTTGAAGAAGAACCTAAGAGATTGATCGAATAGGTGGCACTGGTGACACCTTTGGCGTAACTCCTAGCTAATAATACTGCAGTAATCACCACTCAAAAGACTTTTCTGCATCTAGTGGTACCGGTACAGGAGACAGGATGCAACCTTCCAAAGCTCGGTTGCCAAAACCCTTCGTGCATTCGGATCAAGCAAAATTGCCACTTCAAATCAAACGAATCCGGTCGGTACGAATGATTCAATCCGAGCCTGACTGGCTGGCCAAATAATGATGCCGATCTCCTGTTGCAGGAGAAGTGACGCTGCGGGTCTGCATGCTTCCGGACAGCTACTACCAGGCATTGCTTCATTTTTGCATCGTTGGCTGTGTGACGAGGCTGTATGGCTAGATTCCGGTGCATCTGCAGCAAGACGCAGGCTTCGCCTTGGGTAAAGCTCTCTTGCAAGAATGTGTGGAGATATGCAAAGAGCGGTGCGGAGCGATCATGGTGGGTGCGATTGACTTCTGGCTTCCGCTTCATGCTTCTTGCCTGCATCTTGAGGCTGTGCCATACCGTACCGTGCTGGGATCCTTGCGGCTTCTGCAGGTCCGCACCACAATTTCATAGCTCTTTGCAAATTTATCACCATTTATTTCATCGCGACCTGTACCGGTACCTGGGGTACAGGTACGTACCGGTTTGTCAGATCTCTTCTGGACGTCTTCTGGCAATGCTTGGAGGATGGCCACAGTACTGTACAGTACTGTAGGCTTGTCCTGGTTGGGTAGGTAAAAACAGTCGGTTCCCGAGACGGGACCGTGCGTGACTTCGTTCTCGTTTCATTCCCATGTGCTGCTCTCGCGTTCTCGCTTTGGGTCTGCCGAAGGCCGAAGGTCGAAGAGCACCACCATGGTAATGGTCTGGCTTCCAACCCCACAAGCACCGTCAACCACCACTCTTGTTCATCATCTCCAGAGAAATCTCTTTGTATCTGCATTCAATAACTCCAGGGTTGTTTGTTGCTTGTGTATTCATGGACAACGACAACGCTCAGCGTGCTTCCCAAGACCGTACCCAGAAAACCGATACTTCTCAGACCCCACAACTGCTACTAGCTAGCTAGCACAGTGCCTTCTGTGCGTTGGATTCCATACAGTACCACTCTTTCCATCCTCATGTTCTGCTGAAAGTGGCTATCACTCTCGCTACCAGTAGCTGCCTTACATAATAGCGCTGTCCAAGACCGCAACGATGCCGTCTTCGTCGTCGCGTCCCAGCAAAGAGACTCTGTCAGAAAAGCTGGCAAGTGGTCCCTACCATGGCGACCACAACAAGAGAAAGTCGACACGAAAACGAAATTCCTTGACGAGTGAAACAAATCATACAACTAGCACCGCAGCGAGCAGCACCGTAGCGAGCAGTTCGGCCCCCTCTGTCAATGCTCCCATCAGCCCACAACACACACCCAAACGAAGCAGCCTGGATAGTTCCAGTGTTTCGACGTCCACTCCACCACCGGATGGCAAGAGTCGAACACGAAGAAGACGGGTGTCTGTTGATGCATCGGAAGAAAAAAAGAAAGAAGAGGACCACAATCCACCAAAAGCCGCCAAAACAGGAATTTCCGTATTTGCCAACCTGGTGAATGATTCCTGGGAAGAAAGGATAAAAGATTCGCAAGAAGCCTCGTCTAGTAGGCTGCAAGAAGAAGAACGACAATCCAAACGAGGGACCCGAACCAGACGCAGCAGCACATCCAATCGAGCCGAAGCCGCCATGGCCTCATCGAGTCACCGATCGTCTTCGACCAGCCGACGCCGGTCCAAGAGCGCCTCCAAGCTCATGGGGGATGACAGCAAACTGCTAGCATCACCGTCATCCTCTGGTCGTAGAAGAAGAATATCGACAAGAGACAGCAGCAACGGCAAAACCAAAAAGAAATCCTCCTCCAAATCGAAAAAGGGACAAAGCAGTGACAAGCAGTCCTTGACTTCCTTTATGCAAAATGAGAATTCCAGTCGACCCCCAGAGACGGAAGAAATGTTGGAAGTTCGAAGTGCCTATACCAGCATTTCACGATCCCGCAATCGAAACAAAACCCCCGTGGCGAGTAGCCTGAATTTGTCCTATCACGGTGGAGAAAGTGCAGTGCGCAATACACGAACCTACCGCGAAATGACCCGGAGTCGATCCAGCAGTCGAACACGCAGCAGACAAAACAACATTGAGGATGCTTTGAATAGCAGTGGATCCTTTCGAGAAGAAGATGATGCCTTTTGCTTCCAAGACAGCGTCTCCTTGGGCGGAACCGTCCAGTCTGAAGGAGGAGAAGGACGATCCTTCCGTCGAAGTCTCTCAGACGACCCACAGCAGCGACCGGGAGGGAGCTTGCACCAGCTTCACAATCATCACCAAAGCTCGCAGCACCAATTTCGACAAAGTTTTTCCAGTTTGCCCGTCTTGCCAGAGGAATCTAAAAGATCCAGAAAATCCAAGATATCGTCATCCAAATCATCATCACGCAAGTCCAAAAAGAGTGCTGGCAGCATATCAACACAAGAGCTTTCCGAATTTTTAAATCAATGCAATTCACGGCGCAAGAAGGAGCCAGAAGACACATCCAAGGGAAATTCAGACTTGTCATCTCCAATGAGCGGTGATCGAAGTTGCGTATCCATGCCCGCCAATTTTGCCAAAGAAAAGAAATCGCGCAAGTCATCCTCCAAGAATGGTAGTGTTTCAATGATCAAGGCACCTCCTCTCTCCAAGGCACAAACTTCAAAGCAGGTCAGCCCGAGCGACCATGCACTAGCAACTTCGGGGCGTCTTGTGGAAAAACAGACAGAAAAGACAGATCGAGCAAGGTCGCGAAGTACCAGACGCAGTAGTAGCAGTCGACAGCATCGAGGTAGCACTGGCAACACCAGCAAGACTACCAGGGAGGACAAACCAAAGTCGACAACCGATGAACTCAGTGAGTCTATGAAAGAAGCAGCCAGACAACGATCCAAAAGTGTGAACAAAGGACCTGCAAAGAGGAAAGAAAAGGGAGAGAACTCCAGAACCAGGTCTCTTTCTCGTTCACGAAACTCTGATATGGATATGAGTAGATCTGAGCAAGGTCGTGAAAAATCCAACAACAGCAACAAACAGTCAGACGCTCGCAAACAAAGACCCAAGAATTTTCAGAAACTGTTTTCAATCCGCGACCTCACACAAGGTGATCCCGATAACGATACTGGCAGTCAAAGTCAAGAGAGGACATCGTTATCGTCCGTTCCTTCACAGCCGGAGTCACTGCTCAAGACACCCGTCACAACACAAAGGGCCACTTTAGGGCGAAGTAGCATTGATGATGCTGACCTCACACTGACGCCCCCTCCACCTTTGACGCCATACTCTCCTTGCAACAGTGCTCATAGTCGTGGGGGGTTTGACGGGCCCTCCAAGAAGAAACTCCATGATCTAGCTCGAATTCACCGGGCTTCGATTCCCTCCCGAAAGAACCAACACCTTTACGACTCGACAGATGAAGACACCAACGAGAGACAGGACCCGCCTTCTCCAAAGCAACCCGTATCTATATTGAAGAATAAAACTGAGTCTGGTATTCAGCCGAGCGGTGACAACACAGAAGAATCAGGTACAGTGCAGCAGCTGGCTCTCCGTCTGGATGCTGAGGAGATCCTCGACTTTGAAGCTGAACTCGGTTTTACAGAAGACGTGTTCAGTCACTATTCATGGTATAGTAACGACATGGCTTCGATCGATGCATTGGAGGCCACCAAACCGGAACGTGACAGATTGAAAGCTGCTATACGGGAGTCTCATCTCTACAGCGCCTTTGAGAATCTAGTAGAAGATTGGTGCTAACATTCTAGCCTTGCAAAATATTATACTAGTATGGTTGGTATGCAGTGTAGTTGATGATACCGTACTGAGTGGGGGTCCCTGGACGACGCAGTTGTGTCCCAACCTTATGATGAAGGAGAGAGAAACTTGAAATGATTAATCTCTGGGATGCACTGTTTGTTGGCTTTGATGCGGGTACCGTATCACGCTCAGTTCTATGTTTTGATCTCTCCCTGCTTTCTTGACATTGTTTCATCGAATGCTCTGGCTGTATCTGCTTTGCATGTTGACAAAAAAGTGGACGTCATGGGTGACTTGGACCATGGCAACTGTAGCTCCCTCGAAAAAGCAATTAGAAAGTGATTTTCGATTTGTGCTTTTGGTACAGCTGCTACGTACTGGCTGTTCTAGCTCATGATTTCCATCAATGCTCCTCAGCCAGCCCTTAGCTAGCTAGAGTAAACGACCACCCTGCATACACATTACCGTTGCCACTTCACTTCACAACTACCTGGTACGAGGGTTTGCTTGGAAACTAACTTGAAAAGGAGAACCCTCGCGTCCTTGAACACCTTCGCATGTTTGGGCGGACCGTGGCTACGTACCCGTAGCGACTAATAGTATATTATTATCAATACCGCAGCCGACACCTGCTTTCGAGACAACCGCCAAGGGGCGACCATTTGAATATCCGCGCTTCAGAAATGTTGCCCCATTAGGATTCTGTTACATCAATCCTTTACCGTCGACGTGGATAGCTCGCTGGGGCGAGCGATTATGACAATGACATCGAGGAGGTATCGGATCCTTGGCTGTACCGGCACCGAAGGTAGTTACCCACGAGTTTTGGTCCGATTCCTTCGTCGTTTCATGAAGGATTCTACTATCCACTTCTTCTCTGAAGACCTGAAGAAGATAGAAGCTCTGCAAAACGAATGCTGAAGCTTGGCAATCTCTGAAGCGTCCCGGACAGAGAGAGCAATGCTTTCAGCGCTGGCAAAGCTTTTCTGATTGAAGGTTGATCGGGAATGGAATTGGCCTGGCCGTTGCTTCTCCGGGCAGGTCATGTACACGTCACGGTAGCTGAAGAAAAGAAGCAAGGCTACATCCTTTTCTGGACCACTACCGCTACCTGGTACCGGCACTGGGAGAGGGAGGAGGTTTTCGTTTCATCCCATCACCTATCACCTCCATACTCCATACTCCATAGCGCGCGCGGTACCGGTACCGGTAGCAAGGCGAGCAAAGTACCGGTGGTAAGGCGAGCCAAGTAGTTGCAGGCTCGAACGTTTCTTTCCCACTGAGGCCTTCGGTACCAAGGCAGCCCACGAGCGAGCTACCCAGAGATCTACAGGAAGCAAACGAGTGAAAGTCGAGTCCGGGTCCTCGAGTCAACCCTCTTCCGTGCCATTATCAAAGCTAAGGAAATGCCAATCGCTCGTTTGACCAAATAACTTGCTTATTGACAGCCAAGATCCAAAAGTCCGTGGATGACTCTGAACACTTTGTTGCTGTGTGTTTTCCGTCCACCCCCGTCTGCACAAAAGAGCACAGGATGCCTGGAAATCGATCCATGCAATCAATCTACAGGCATTTTCACAAGTCCAAGTGAGATTCTAGCTAGCTAGGTAGAGTACAGTGCCTTCTTGGGGTAGCCCGATCGATATGTTACCAATGCCACAAACACTTTGTGTCAATGTATTGGAGTCATTGGAGTGGCAGATTAAAAACAATGCCAGCATTCAGACTATCCATATCGGAAAAGCAAGAACACTGCTGTTAATTAATACCGGTACTAGCTCGACAGCTCAAGACCTCCTTGGGAACAAGTAAGTTTGGTCACAAAACCAATACTGTAATGACACCATCCGAAGTGGCCCCTGCAAATTTTGCAACAAGAGCAAATTGTGAGAAAGCACGTGAGAAGCTTTCGGTACGGGCTCTGCGGCCACAGCTACTTAGCACACACATATGATGTACTTAGTAGTCCCATTTCAAAGGTTATAAGCGAATAAAAAAGGACAATGAACTTGAAAAATTGGGAACACTCCTGTAAGCTCGCTAAGAAGACAGCAGGAGGGAGGAAGGTGGGTGGAGAACAAAACTAGTCATTTTTAGTCATATGACTGGAAGTGGAATGCCATGCGTAGAAACTGTATGCTCAAAATTCGAAAACGCAAAACAGTTTGTTTAGCATGGCCACTGAGCATTGAGGTTGCTTTCTGTTTGCACTGTTCTGCTGCTGGTTTGGGAAGTCAATGCTCTCAGACTTATACACAACCCCAAGACTCAACTCAAGAGAAGGCATTGTCAATGCTGGCACTTGGTTTCGAGTGTCTCATGTGATCACAAAATCAAATTCTCTCCAACGGACACCGATACCCCACAAATCTCTTCCCAAAGCATAACAATTCAAAGCCAAGGATGTGCAACATGACAAGAAAGAACTCTCTAGGACTCGTCAAGGTACGCAAGGCAAACCGGGCCGCAAAGCATTCAGTGAAACGATCAGAGGCGAAGGCAGTGCGATTCTCCAAAACTCCCGAGGTTGCATTTCGCCATGTGACTCAAGATGAACTGCAGAAGACTTGGTACAAGCCACAGGAATACGACGCATTCAAGGAAGACTGCAAGCGCACAGCAGCTTACTACCGCAACGCACAAGGCGACATTACTCGGCTCGACCCCGTCAAGGTCTGTTTGCGTGGCCTCGAGCAAAACCTCACCAGGATCAGCATCATGTCACGACGCATCACCATTACCTCCAGCGTCAACATGGTCCTCCACGAACAAGGGATGGAGCCAAGGTAGAAGAAGAATAGCAGATTCGATTCGATTCTTCCAGTGGCATTGGTTCCTGCCGTGTTGATTACTTGGATCAAATTGGATCAGTATAAATGAGCAGCATTGAGTCGATTCTGGCAGAACTGGACGAGACGAGACTAGACTAACGTACCTGTGCACTTCGCTTGAAGCAGGCACAAGGCACATATGATGCGCTGCGAACGGTCGTCGCAAAGAAAGCTTACGAGTCCACCTTCGTGGCCAGGACGTTGCCCGTCACATGATGCTTCCTATGCGACTACCTACTAGCTAAGCAATGACATGCTGTCCCATGATGCTTCCTGTGCGACTGCCCAGCTATTTTATTCAGAAGCCAGTGGCAACTATTATGCCAGGCAACTGCGCATGCGAACCAACTATGACATGAGCAGGAGAACTCCCATGAGTCGAGTCTACTGCAAAAGATTTGGGAATACATTCAAGCAAGGCGGAGACAAGGCTTCTGGAGGAGGAGATTAGGAGATGATTATGATATAGTTATCCCGTTATGAATGGTCTGTTAGTTGTATCCCGTTATTCAATGAGTCCAGGTCTGCAGTGCCTACAGCTTGGCAAGCTTTTCGTCGAATGACGCCACAGTGATGGCCCGTCTACGAGATGCTTCTGACATGGCCATGCAAACTTCTCTGACCTTCTCAGGGTTGGATTGTCCGCGGGTTTTCTGTGATAGTTGTTCGTGGAGGACCATGTTGACGCTGGAGGTAATGGTGATGCGTCGTGACATGATGCTGATCCTGGTGAGGTTTTGCTCGAGGCCACGCAAACAGACCTTGACGGGGTCGAGCCGAGTAATGTCGCCTTGTGCGTTGCGGTAGTAAGCTGCTGTGCGCTTGCAGTCTTCCTTGAATGCGTCGTATTCCTGTGGCTTGTACCAAGTCTTCTGCAGTTCATCTTGAGTCACATGGCGAAATGCAACCTCGGGAGTTTTGGAGAATCGCACTGCCTTCGCCTCTGATCGTTTCACTGAATGCTTTGCGGCCCGGTTTGCCTTGCGTACCTTGACGAGTCCTAGAGAGT